GTCCCTGATATCAAGGAGGAGGGAGAGGAGGAGAGAAAGGTCACCTTTACTTCAAAATGAAGGAGGAGGAGGAGAAGAAGAACCAGGTACTAGTGGTAGAAGAGGTACTTATGGATCTATTGGTGGAGATGATGCTCCTGAAGTTGAAGTATCTCAAGAAAGAGAGAGAGAGAGGGAGGAAGAGAATGAGCTAAATACTTAATGGAGTTTATTAATTCACTTTCTGTATCATAAATGATAATGACTTATTATTATTATTATTATTATTGTTATTATTATTATGCTCATTTTTGTTTGTTATTTTTATTGCAAGCTCAAATCTGAATTATCTTCTCCGAGCAATTATTTCTGTCATTATTTAGTTATTATTTTATTATTCTACTATTGTTATTAATTTTGGCTTGTAAAACTACTAAAAAGTTACACATATCTTGTTTGAAAGTCACATTTAATCCTCTCCCTATGTACTGTATCAAAGTACCTTGCAAGTTCTACAGATAGAAAATATATTATTTCTAGTTACTTTACTGTCATTGTGATCAGCTTCAAAGCAGTCAACTTTATTTCTGCCCTATAGAAAGTTTGTTGATAGTCAAGCCTTCATACGAAATTGCAATAAGAGTATCACCCCAAAGAGATCAGAGACAAAATTTTCTACCAAACAAAATTAACTTAAAAACTTACATTTCCTTTTGTGAAAGTAACAACTAACATATTACTGTTTGAATGAAATTGCACTCTTACTCTAGAAGTAGAAAAGGAAGAAAACAGAGAAAAAAGAGTATAAAAGAGATAGGTAGATTTCCTTCACAACATACACTTAATTCCCTTACTCTTCTGTTCCATAAAATAGTGTTAACTTAATACACAATTTTTTTCTGATGGAAGTGAACTTGCTGTCAACATGAAAACCAGATGCTTTACAGGGGACATCATTCCAAAATTTGAGACAAATTTCCTTACACCAATTGCAAAACTCTAATTCGGCCTGAGCCTAAAATTTAACAGCATTTCCCCAAGAGGTACTATTCTGAGAGGAGAGCTCAGTCATGCACACTTAAGTCTGTATAGTACACCACCTCATACACCTACAGTATTGGTTCTGTAACTCTGTTGAAGACAGTCATAGACTTGCACAAATCTAGAGTTATATACATGTGGACATGTCTAGAAAAGGTGCTGTAATGTGCTTGCATGCATAGGCATGCTGAGAGTGTCAGACTAATTAGGACACAAGCCTCACATATGTGTTACACAACCATAATGTTGTTATCGCCTTAGATCAGGACTGGTATCAGTCTAATTCATACTGACATCAGTCCTGAATCATGGTTTTCGTGTAATCAGTCATGATACAACTGTGAAAATCAGCCATGATACAATCATGATAAAATTTGTGCTGATCCATGCCAGAATATCAGGCATGATTTATAAAATAATGTGTGAGGGCTGTACCAGTATATAGGATATCAGACTTGGTCCATTATTTTGGGGCAAAAGTGCTGATTCAGGCGTGATAACATTTGGTTGTGTATGTGAATTTTTGCTAAGAATGTGCACGATGAGCTGCATTTTGATATTTGTAGACTGTCAGAAATAGGTGTACTATATTTGATGTGCATCAAATGATGCTGTATTTGCATAGACAGAGCTTATAGAATAGTGTGATGTTTTCTAAAAGTTAATCTTTTGGTAGACTAGAAAGAATGTAAAATATTAAGAGGCTAAGGCTCATGCATTTAGTAGCTGCTGGAAAAGCAGAATCTCTAGATAATCAGAAACTGGATGCATGTTTTTTGACCCCAGCTATATAAGTTTACAAACTAGATAATTATAAATATTATGTGGTGTCTAATTTTTTTTTCAATATTCAAGGCAAATGAGCAGCTCAAAAGTTTGATAGAGTAGATAAACAAATAGAGAGTCAATTATCACATTATTCATGTGTACATGTACATTGTTAACTCTGTACATAGCTCTGGAGGACTTTTAGAGACTCAATTAAGCCTTTTTTGCACTTAAATTCTTCCATTTTTTTGAAATGCCACAAGCCTAGCTTTAAAGCCTCATTTAATCCTCTCTCTTCCATGTACTGTAACAAAGCACCTTCCAAGTTCTACAGATGGGAAAATTATGAGGTATACTTTATTATTCTGTTACTTTGATGTCATGATTTAACTCAAATTTTCTTCCCTCTCTTACTACAAAAAGTTCAAAAATTTCGAAGTCTCCAAAATTTTCCGCATCATCAAAATTGTTAATATAACACCTTGCATTAAGACTATCACCCTAGAAAGATCAGAGACAAGATTTTCCAACAAACAAGATTAACTTAAACGTACATTCTTTTTTGTGAATGTAACAGTCAACCATTAACAAATATTGTATCGAATTGCACTCTTACTCTAGTAAGGAAAAAAGATAACAGAGGAAAATTGAGTATACCGTATAGTGGGAAATTTTGGAGGGAGTAAAATGTGGCCAATTGCTAAATTTTGGTAATTGGCGGATTTTAATTTGGTGAATTTGTGGCGATGTGCCATTGAGCAGGCGCATAATATTGAAATGGCGAATTTTATTTTGGCAAATGGCTATGAAAACGCCAAATTTAATTCCCTCCAAAATTTCCCACTATATGGTAAAGGGAGAGATAGATATGACCTACATGTATATACCACTGAAGGTAATAAACTGGCCAAGCCAAATTTAAGAGTCCAGCAAGGCAATGAATTAATTTTTGTTAATAAAGGAACTGACTCAACTAAGAAGTGGAATTCCAGAATATGATTCAAACATGCTTAATTTATCCAAATAAAATTGCACTCTTAGGTGAGAAAAGGTGCAAAAATTTGAAAATAGCATTTTCTGCCTAATTATTCTTAAATGATGCATTTTTAGGCCCAATTCTGAGTTTTGGGGCCCTAATGTAGTTGGGATTGCTGGGGATTTCCCCTTCTCCCTCTTAGTAGGCCTGATTACTCATACAAAATCAATATTAAAGGAATGCTTTCTTTACTCTACTACATGTATCTGGCTTACTCTTCTGTGCCATGCCTTCGTGTCAATACACAAATTTCTGGTTTAACTGAACCTGTATGCATAGTCAGGTGGAAACCAGATGCTTTAAAGAGGGCATCAGTCTTAGATACCTTACACCAAAACTCAATTTCAGCCTGAGCCTTTGCTGCCAGAGCCATTCCTGAAGATGTATTATTTTGAGAAAAAGAGCTCATTAAACCTAAAATTAGATGATAATTTCAAAACTTTTATATTGTACTTTCTTACATGTTGCTAATAATGAAGGACTATAAACTAAATTGGCAGAAGAAGGGGAAATTTTCTTACAAATCAGAGGACTGGAAGAACCAAGATATCTCAAGATAAGAGGTAATCTTAGAGTAGCCATTATTAGTCACACTATAGCTAAGTCTGCAAGAATAAGTCACCACAGTGATGAGGGCTTTTTGGTATGACAGGTTTGACAGCAGCAACTACACTGACTCTGTGACAGATTTTACTTTTTAGAGAACTGTCTGAACTGAACTTAGTGAACTGTAAACTTGCACAAATCAATTTATAACATAGCATGAGAATGTTCTAGAATTACATGTGCACATGTCTTAGTAGACACATGTTGAGAGTGTCAGACTAATTAGGACACATAATATTACCACACATGGGACTTCTTGCTAAGAATGTGCTAAAAGAGCAACATTTTGATATTTTTAAACAGTAATTGGGTGTACCTATTGGATGTGCATCAAATGATACATGTATTATGTACAGACATGCAGAATAGTGTGACATTTTCTAAAAGTCAATCTTTTGGTTGACTATAGAAAATGGATGTACTCCACTACATGTACACATACATGTACATACAGCTGGAAAATTTTTAAAGGAAGAATTTATTTCTGGAAAATGATAATTTCGTGGGGTTTTTACCTCAATTATGCATTAGGGTTCACAAAAATTTATGACAAAAGCTTGTACATGTACATGTACATGTATAACAACAATAGCCACAAGACTTATAATGATTATCATATTTTCAGGATCTAAAGTTTCTGTGATGTTACTGAAAATTGGAAAGTTGTGAATAAGATTTTCATAAATTAACCAATTAACACATGCAGATGTTACAATGGCGACTCAGTTTTTTTGTGATTAAAATGTTTGTGATTATTAAAATTTTAAAGGTATCACAAAAAAGCTTTATTGTATATAATATCAGCAAATAATATAAGTTTTATATTTACTGTGAAAATGATGATAAGATTGTTAAGTTTTTAAACATTAACTCAAAGTCTCTATAAGTGACACGTCCATCTAAATCACCATCAATCTCTTTAAAGAAGGACTCTACTCTGCTACAAGGTATCAGTGGAGCCACCTAGCAATGAAATGAACACTATATGTACATACATTATAGGCTGCATCATACAGTTACTATCATATTTGCTTGCATAATGCAGCTTCTAGTTGTGGATTGTCAAAGTCCCTTAGCCAAATTTTGCCAAAAATGAAAATGACAGAATTCTCTATTTTAATAATTTTATCTAGTAGAATGTTTGAGCAGATTCCAATCAAATTTTGATTTTTTTTACAAATTTTGAAGCTGCTAAAAAATCAGGCCAAAGTCCCTGTTTCTAGTATAGGGTCATTGGCCAAATTTCACAAAAAAATGAAATGGGGGATATTACTTCTTTTTCATAAATTTTCCTGGTACATAATTTATGTTATATGAAAAGTTTGAGCTAATTCCAATCAAATTTGGATTTTATATGAATATGTAAAGGAACTCGAAATTGGGCCAAAGACCCATGCATGTATATCTTTGGCCAAATTTGATCAAAAACAAAAAGGAGACAATTCTGTATGATCGTATATACAATGTACCTTTGCAAAAGCATCTTTACAATCTTCTAGTGATATAAATCCTCGTGAGAAGCGATCAAAAGCCATAAATGTCTGACGTATAATCTCAGATGAGTCCTGCGCCTGCAATCTGGGAAGAACCAAATCAGTAAATGCTTTGAGGTCGAGCCCAGTCTCTTCGTCCCCTGCTTTCTCTTTCCAGGAACTGTTTATTTCGTATTTTGAGGGTTTGTATCCAAACAGTTCGATAATTGCAACTTTGTAATCTCTTTTGGAGAGATATCCTTTCTTGTTCTCGTCTGCTGATTCGAAAGCAAGGGAAATCTTTCTTTGCATGATAGCCTGGAATAATTAAACTAAAATTTAAATACTTAAATAATTTTTCAAAAAATGCAGAATATAATTGTGTAATGAGAAAGACAAAAATAATGATTAATAATAAAAAAATAATGAATGAAGTAAAAGCGGAAATACAAAATAAAATAAAATAATTAAGTTTTAATGTCTCAAAGTAAATTAAAAACAATATTACCATTGCAATCAAAACAATTCATTATACAAGATAAATTCTACGTTTGACAATAGTCTTACCACTAAATTGGAGCTAAAATATTAGGAGTTTGGAGGGACCTCTGAGCTGGCGGCCATTTTGAAGCAAACTGCGCATGCGCAACCCGCCAACGCAATTTCCATGTGGTGCATGTGCTCAACTCAACATGGCTGAAGAAAGTAGAAGAGAAGGAGGAGGAGACGGGTAAGGATCCAATACTGTCCATTATTCTCTTACTAAAACTGTCTCACTGCCACCCCATGGGATAGTACTACTTGAAAAATTACTTTATTTTTTGTTATAGCCAAGACGGCCTGGATTACGGGAGTCGAATGGACCCCGGCCTTATTGAGGTACCTCGTCCCTTTGTTGTATGTCCGTTATGTCTCTCATTGTTTTTAGAGTAATTGGGATGAGGTTGTGGAGAAATTTGATGACATGAATTTGAAAGAGGAGTTATTACGTGGGATATATGCTTATGGGTTAGTTTTACATGCATGTACATGTACTTTGACATGTACGTACACATTGATCTCTGTCCCTCTCTCTCTTTCTCTCTTCTTATAGTTTTGAAAAGCCTTCGGCAATTCAACAGCGTGCCATAATCCCATGCATAAAGGGTAAAGTACATTGTTACGTGTACGTGTGTGTTACCATACTGTTCTCTCTCTCTCCCTCCCTCCCTCCCTCTCCTCTCTCCTTCTCTCTCTTCTCTCTCTTCTCAGGTCATGATGTCATTGCTCAGGCTCAGTCTGGTACTGGGAAGACAGCTACATTTGCTATATCAATACTACAGACCATTGATGAAAAGAAACAATCCTGTCAGGCACTCATCTTGGCACCAACACGAGAACTGGCTCAACAGGTGTCCTGAAAGAGAGATAGTTTGTGTGTGTGTGTGTGTGTATGATAGAGAGAGAGAGTGAGAGGCTCTTTTACAAATGTACAGCCCTGGTATAGTACTAAATCCCATGTACCATGTATTAAAGAAATATGTAATGGTCGTTTATAGACATACCTATGTTTCCTTACTTTTTTCCTCTATGCATGTACTGTACATGTAGCTGATGCCTCTATGTGTATATTGTGTAATATACACGTAGATGATTCCAAGAATTGCTTGATGAATCTATTCATTTCCTGTCACTATTTTGATTATCTCCATCTCTTCCTCTTTCACTATCTCCTTTCTCATTATCACCAAACCTCACCCATCCCCCCCTCTCTCTCTCTCCCTCTCCCTCCCTCCCTCAGATTCAAAAGGTTGTTATAGCTCTTGGTGATTACCAGGACATTCTGTGTCATGCGTGTATTGGTGGTACTAATGTTAGAAGTGATATTGCTAAACTAGAGCAGGGACAGCATGTGGTGGTTGGTACCCCTGGACGAGTGTATGACATGATTAATAGGAACGCTTTGGGTAAGAGGAGAGGGAGAGAGAGAGGGAGAGAGAGGGATGGGTGTGGAAGGGGGAGGAGAGAGAAGGAGGGAGAGAGAAAGATTGATACAGTCATATTTATCATTGATAGACTTTGATGTTATGCTTTATCCTTTTATTCCTCCAGACACTCGTTTCATTCGAATGTTTGTTCTTGATGAAGCAGACGAGATGTTGTCCCGTGGTTTCAAGGATCAGATTTATGACGTGTTTAGGAAAATGCCATCAAATACTCAAGTAAGTGGAGGACATGTGAAGCATTGTTAGTATGTTGTTTACTAAGTGACTG